CTCGCCCTTCTCTCCTTTGGCACCCGGCTCGCCTGCAAGAGACGCGGGTGCGGAGGGGTGAGATCCCGGCACGACCGCGGTGTCCCGGGGACACTGGGAACACCCTGGGGGGACACTGGGAACACCCCAGGGACACGGGGAACGCCCCGGGGGACACCTGGAACATCTCAGGGACACGGGGAATGCCCCGGGGGACACCTGGAACATCTCAGGGACAGGGGGAACGCTCCGGGGACACTGGGAAAGCCCAGGGACATCATAAACACCCCAGGGACACCGGAAACGTGCCGGGGACCCGGGGGACATGATGGGGAGACTGGGAATGCCACAGGGACACCGGGAATGTCCTGGGGACACCGGGAACACCCTCGGGACACCGGGAATATCTTGGGAACATGACAGGAACACCGGGAACACCCTCAGGACCCCGGGAATACCCTCGGGACCACCGGGAATGTCCTGGGAACATGACAGGGACACTGGGAACACCCAGGGACACCGGGAATATCCGGGGGACACCGGGAACACCCTGGGGACACCGGGAACCCCCTCGGGACACCGGAAATATCCTGAGGACACCGGGAACATCCCAGGAACGCCCTGAGGGCACCGGGAACGCTCTGGAGACACCGGGAACACCCCCAGGACACCGGGAACACCCTCGGGACACCGGGAATATCCTGGGGACACCGGGAACATCCCGGGAACTCCCCAAGGACACCGGGAACGCTCTGGAGACACCGGGAACACCCCAGAGACACCCCGGGAATGCCCCGGGGAGCAGCACGTACCCCGCATGCCCGGCACGCCCTGCCGCCCCTCTCTGCCGATCTGGCCCGGCATTCCCGGGGAGCCGGGGGGTCCCGGCCGGCCGGGCAGCCCGTCCTTGCCGGGGGGACCGGGCCGGCCCGGGGACGCCACCATCTCCACCGGGAAGTGCAGCCGGGAGGTGTAATAGGCCATGCGCTCTGCGGGGACAGGGACCGAGCTCAGCGCCGGCGGGGACAGAGCGGTGTCGCGGTGTCGCCGGTCGTTGTCACCACCCCCGTTCCCCGTTACCGTCAAACATCTTGTTGAGCTCCTGCCGGATGAAGCGCTTGATCTCGTCGTAGTTGACCACATCTCCCTGCGGGGACACGAGGGGACACGCCAGGGGACACGAGGGGACRCKCCAGGGGACACGAGGGGACACKCCAGGGGCAGCGGCCACCGCGTGTCCGGAAAAAAGGGACCGGGTCCGGCCCCGCCGCGCTGTCACCCGTCCTTACCATCATCCCCGGCGGGCCCGGTAGCCCGGGGCTACCTGCGGGACCCGGTGAGCCCGGCGGGCCCCTCTCGCCCGCGGGTCCCCGCGGTCCCACGAGCCCCATGGAGCCGCTTTTTCCCGGACCCCCGGGCATTCCGGCTCTGCCCTTCTCGCCCGGGTAGCCCCTCTCGCCGGGGGAGCCAGCGTCACCCTGAGGACAGGAACGGCTCAGCTTTGGGACAGCTGAGGGACAGCGGGGTGGCCGTGGTGGCRCGGCCGGGCTGCCCTCACCTTCTGTCCGGCCGGGCCCGCAATGCCCGGTTTTCCTGGCGGTCCCTGGAAAAGGGGRAGGACGGTGACAGGGATGTCCCCACCCTGGGGACACCCTGGCCAGGCCAGAGGATGTCACAGTCCATCCTAATGTCCAGCGAGGCAGGAAAGTTCCAGAATCCCCGCTCGTACCTCTTTCCCCACGGGTCCGTCCGGTCCCTGCTCGCCCTGCGAGGTCAAAGAGGGGCGGAGTGAGGTGGTGGCACCGCGGGGACACCCCTCCATGTCCGGGACTGTGGTGACACCGCGGGGACACCCCATCGATGTCCGGGACTGTGGTGACATGAGGGGACACCCCTCGATGTCCCCGCCGCTCCGGGGGCTGTGACACCACTCACCGGCGGTCCCGGGTGTCCCGGGGGTCCCGGCTGTCCTGGCATCCCCGGCAGACCCCGCTCGCCCACGGAGCCGCGCTCGCCCTTCAGCCCCTGCGAGGAGGGGGGAGCGGCGGGATCAGAGCGGGGAGGGGATGGG